CGTGTCAATAAGCTGATGGATCGAATCTTGCTTGGAGTTTTGGCGCGCAGTCACTCTGGCTCATCCCTCACTTTGTATGCGCTCCTCGCCCTGTAGCCTTGGGTCTTGGCAAGTCTGTACCAGATGTCACGCGAATCCTTGTTCGTTTTGCCCCTGTGGAGAGAAGCGACCGTCGCGATGGGCAGATCCACCACAGCATCGTGGATCCTGTCAGTCTGGAGTCAGAGCAGCTATAACAGGTTTGCGCGTGGACTGACATGATCCGAAGCGACAAGTAGTCCTGAATTGCACGCACAGGGCCTTGCAGGAGATGGAAGGAAAGGTGTTTGCGCGAGACTGCTAGCGTTGTTGCGAGCCCAGCACCGAATCCTGCTCCGATTTGAATCCCCTCTTGACACCAAGATTTTCTTTTTTTTGCCTTTTCAAAGCGTCCACTTGCGATCAACCAGAGCTGCGAAACGGGAGGGAGGTGCGCAAACGTCGCTCTCCGAATTTGGATCGAGCCTGCCACCAGCTTATTTATTTGCGCCTTCAGCTGTCTGCGGTCACTCTTGGGCTTCTACGATCTTCTAGGCACCTCTGATTGCTTTGGACTCAGTCATGTGAGTCCTTCTCATGGGAAGGATGTTGGGTGCTTTCATAGCCCTAGGTCGCACCGCGAAGGCTTGAGAATCAAGATATGCACCATGCATTATTCAAAATTGCGGCTGTCCCGCCTTGCTATTCAAAAAAGTGCGGACGGACACAGTGGTCACGTGATGCACGCCGAAACACCAAAGTTGTGCGCGGCTCGTCAAGCTATACGAGCCAACATGCGCAGGCAGGGACTCTCACGATACAGCAACACATCTCTTCACCTGATTCGCAGCAATTTGCCTTCGCCCAAACCAAGCTGTGCGCTCACTGCTGTTGACTTTCGCGAGGGTTACATTACAGCGTTTTGAATCACGAATGGTTCAAGAATGACCAGAATTTGGAGACTTTTGCCTGCAATGGACGGTAAGCAAATTCGAGCAGAGTCGTCTACCCTCCTTACGCGCAGTTGCACTTCGGTAGATCTAGCCGCGAAAGATGGCTCATTGACCAATTCAGAATTAAGAAGTTGTCGTCAAGACATGCTCGTCAGTTGCAGAGAGATGCTTTCAAGACAGGTTCAATGATGCAAAAAATAAAAAATAAAAAAGAGGTGCGCTGCGCACAGGAATCGGATGTGGGATTGTGAATGAGTGAATGTTAATTTAATCGCGTAAAGCTCCTCTTGAACATGTTTGCAGCGTTAGCGACGCTCAGAATTGGCCACGTGGTAGCAAACAAGCATTCGATAACGCCATGATGTTATGTTGACGCAAGGTAGAGTTTGAGGAGGTGTCGCGCGCGGCGGCGGGGGAAAGAAAGTGCAGTGACGCGCGGAAATCGTGATCACACTGCTGTAGTGCGCGGTGCTGTCGGGCCACAGCTCATTCCGGATCCTGTGGCCCAGAAGACCGCGTTGCGGTTGCGCAAGCCCGCCCAGCTTGGCAGAGGCTAGGCTACGATCGCAGTCGCAGACGCACGCGCGTTTGGCAGAGTAGGACTTGGAGTGGTGTTTTGGTAGGAGCGGTGTGGCGAGGGGTTCCTCTAGCTGCCGCGCGTGCGCCATGCAACAACGGCTCATGTCTCGGATTCGCGCGCTTGAGCTAGGCAGCAGCTAGGCAGCCTTTTGAGTTGGGCAGGCGCACCTGAAGCCGCGCGGAGATGGAGTCGAGGAGGAGTTAGGAGAATCACGAAGTGCGACTGATGACTCTGACTCAATAAGGACTCGACTCAGACTGGCATGCAACAAAGGCGCGCGCGCTCGGCTCTTTGGACGGATCGATCGAGTTGTGCGCGCGCGCATGGCAGGCGCAATGAGTCAGTCAGTGGGTTGCGTTGCGTGCTGAGCATCGCACATCGATGAAAGGATCCGGATGAGTTGCGCGAAAGAGGCATGAGCTTCACAACAGACACTCCCCCAAAGTCGTCTATTTCATCTGCTCTCCCTTCCCCTCTCCTCCAATGTTCACGACCACATCACCCATCTCAACCTCAAGATAACGTGAGTATTGCCACTTTCTCAATTCCTCTGCCTTTCCATTCGATCTTTTGCTCACATTGCTTCTCCTCCCATCCTCCTCCATCCTCCGCGCTCATCTGTGCCCCTCTCGTTGCGCGTGGTGCATTCCTGATCGCGTTTTGCGCGTTGGCATCGTCGCGCCACCTCAACTTGGAATTGTCGCGCCTCGACTGGCTTGATATCATCCTGCGCGCCGTTGCACCGCCACCCAACGCGCCGCGTACCGCGCCACCACACCGCACCGCACTCACTCACACTGTACAACACGACTACTCCTTCATCACATCACATCTTCGCAACATCTTCATCACGCTATATACTCACGACTCGATTTCATCTTCGTCGTCTTCATCCCTATCACAACTTCTTTTCGGCGTCTTCCTTGCTGCCACCTGTCCTGGTCTCGCATCCATCCATCGTCCTCAACATCCTCGTCACCGCATCCATCTCGCGCACCCCACCCACTCGACCTGCTCCTCTTTACCTTGACTTCAATTGACCTCGTCGTGACATCACTCAGTCGACACAATGGCCCGCACCAAGCAGGTAAGCATTAGCATTTCGTCGTCATCGTCGTCGTCGTCCAGATCCCTCAACTTATTGCTCACACATTGTCCTTTGCCATCACAGACCGCACGCAAGTCTACCGGTGGTAAAGCACCACGCAAGCAGCTCGCCACCAAGGCCGCCCGCAAGAGCGCGCCCGCTGCCGGTGGTGGTGAGTGTCAACTAGTACCACTCATCGTCGTGCACCACACCTCATCGTACTGACGTTTTACCGTCCTTGCCATGCATCGCCTTTCATTTCTCAACAGTCAAGAAGCCTCACCGTTACAAGCCCGGTACCGTCGCTCTTCGTGAGATTCGTCGTTACCAGAAGAGCACCGAGCTCCTCATCCGCAAGCTGCCCTTCCAGCGTCTCGTTCGTGAGATTGCTCAGGACTTCAAGACCGACCTTCGCTTCCAGAGCAGCGCCATTGGCGCTCTCCAGGAGGCTGCTGAGGCTTATCTCGTCGGTCTGTTCGAGGGTGAGTCATCGTTTGCCAACGTCAAGCGCCGGTGTATAGGTTACGCATACTGACCCCACCCTTTGCAATCATCTCCAGACACCAACTTGGCTGCTATCCACGCCAAGCGCGTTACCATCCAGCCCAAGGACATTGCCCTTGCCCGTCGTCTTCGTGGCGAGCGCTCTTAGATGCGCCTAGCTGTATAGGCCACCCTGGACGCGTGCTGTCCCTCACCAAGCTCTTTGTTAGCTCTTCTCTCTCTACTCGACCACCATCGTCGGCGTCAGTCATGAGCACGCTACACGCGCCTCTCATATCTTGTGTATCACTACATTCATGATGACTTTGCGTTCGAACATCAGTTCTTAGACCCCCCCCCTGACTTGTGCCATCTGGGCTGTCTGACCTCGTATGGACGGTGAATGTTTGTCAAGATCTGCGAGCCTCGGGCTTCGATGCGAACAAGCGCGACTGTGCTGGTCAAGGGTTGGCATCGCATGATGACTCGGTCGGGGAAGCAACGCCCACCAAGATGCTGCGTGGTTCACGATGCTCGTGCTTTGCATAGCACGACTCAAGCCTTCGGATGTTATTCTCGCCAATGCTGTCTGTATTACGTATCTCTAGTTGTAGTGCACGTAGGAAACAATGTAGTATGAGCGAGGTGGACGCATCAAGGCGGCATACGAGGTTTTCGTAAAACGACGCTAGTCGACGAGCTGAAAGCTAATGGTAGCGAAGACGGGCTCCTCTACATTTTCCCTCGTTTGAGCTCTAAGCGTGTATCGGATTGGCATCTCTTCAAAGAAGCGTTTCAGATTGAGACTGACGGGACCCAATCCCAGAGCAAAAGTGTTGAAGTCGAAAGCGTCGGTGAAGAAGGACATGCCGTACACTACGTCCGGATCAAACACGAAGCTTTGCCTGTGCTCCAATTTGGCAAAATGTTTGCGCCTGCTGGGTACGGGGATGGATTTGTGCGTAAACATAAAGGCATTGTCTTCGATCATGTCCACTTGAGCCTCCGACCATCTCCAAGATCCCAACTTGTCGTCCAGCTTGCTCTGCCAATCCGACGATGCTTCATTCGTGCTCTTTGGCTTCTTTAGACTTGTGCGTCTTCCGATATGCTCGCTGGCCACGTCAAAGTCGCCATCCCTCAACCCATCCGTCTCTGCTGCAGCTGTAGCTTCTTTGCGAACAGCAGTAGTGATGCGTGCCAAGGGAGGCATCTCTGCAGCTTGTCCTTCACTCGAGCCACCTTGACCATCTCCAACTTGAGGCTGGCTGGCCGAAGGAGGCAGCTCAAGCTCAGCAGCTTCGACCTCGTCAGGCGCTCTGACCGCTCCAGCAGGCGGCGTGGTCGGCTCATCATCCCCAACGCCAGGAATCTTTTCTAAAGCCTTGCTCGCGGCTTTACGAGTGAAGGTGCCCAATCGAGATATGGTCGGATGAGAGGCGGTGTGACCTTGTTGAATCTCTGCGGGACCTGAAGAGGAGGATGCGACGCTGTTTGCGCGCTTGATCTCGGAAATCGCGGGCGAGTTGGGCCTGGAAGGCGGTTGAGTGCGGATCTGGGCATGGTGAGCTTCCAGCAGTGCCCTGACTCGAGGGTCTTGCTGCAGATGAGGGACAAAAGGGTAGGGTCATCAGCGTTCAGAGTTGGTGATGGTAGAGAAGCATGCGATTCCATGCGAGTTCAGACGCTCCAACGATCACATTCATTCATCCCTGTCACGAGACTCACACGAAAGCCAACAAATTGCCAGTACTTTCGACGAATGCGCTGCTCCTTTGCTACTCCAAACCCGAACCAGCCCGTCTTCTTCTTCTTCTTCTCCTCGCCCGGCACGGTTGGGCTGAGGCTCTCTTGCGGAACCACATCCTCATCCACCTCCTCTGCGTCGGGAAGCGCGGCAGAGCCAAGAGCGGGAGAGGAGGGTGCCGTGCCGCTGTTCGATCCGCTCGAACCTCGAGAAGTGTGACGAAGGACGACGACTGCATCGTTTGCCCTGTGCGGAGCGGGCCAAGCGCACAGAGTGTTGAAGCAAGCCACAGCAGGGCTCATAATGTAAGGTCTTTTGGAAGGCGGTTGCTCCTCGTAGTAAGTGCAAGGGTCGATGATCTTGGCCACCCTCATGCCAGCATTGAAAGGAGCTCTGGGGAAATCTACAAACTTGTCGAAATCCGAACCGAACACCACCTCGTCTCCACCCCAAGCTTTCTTGAATCTTCCCTCAATCTGAATGCAAAACCTTCGAGATCTGTCCCTGAAATACTCTCGACCTGCTTCGCCCTCTTTGGCTCCCGGAGCATCTTTGATACGGACCAGCACTCGACCGCAAAAGTGCTCCGTGTCGATCTCGTGAGGAGCTTGGAAATCGTTGACGCGACAAGCCTCCATGTGGAAGCGATCCGGTCCTACTTTGACTTCCAAACGAGGCATCTTGAACTGCGTGGGTGCGAGTGATAGAGGTCCAAGTGTTTACAAGTGTGGAAAATTTGAGTGCTGGCGAGCTCTCGGGATGAGACTGGCAGAGATTGTGCTTTGAGAACGTGTGATGATGATAGAGGTCGCGATCGCGATGGAGCTGAAAGGAGCGAACTGGCAAGGGCGGCCAGCCTGTACAGGCGAATGTGTCGTCTCTGTTGTCTGTCGTCTTGATTGCGCTGGTTGAGGAAGAAGCGAAGTTGGATTGAAAGAGTCGGCCCGCCGTCGGGCGTAGCGATTCACTCTATTCGCGCACGATCAAGTGAGGGGCAGAAAGCGAGGCGCCGATGACGGTTCGGTGCATGTATACAGTCACGAGTGTGAGTATGCTGGAACGGCAAGCCAAGCGCACGCAGCCCAGCCCCGCGGCCCCATTCAGGGCATGGCGCACGCATGCATGCAGTCATGCACCGCATCTCGTCCATCGTCTCTTTTAAATTCTGATCTGCCTTCCCCGCGCTCGGCACCCCGTCATGCGGGCCGATTAGCAGTGCGCTCGCTGCAACTGCACACCGGTACGCGCACGATACATGGCCTGCTTCGGCTTCCAGGGAGCGTATGAGTTGCCTCCTCCTGTGCACACTCTCACAACCGCTCAGAGCTCTACGCCTCGCTTGCGAAGAGAGAAGTGCAAGGCGCTCATTCAGGGTCCAGACGGCAAAGGCGTGCACAGTTCAAAGGGGTGCACTCGATCATAATCAGCGAGCAGCGGCGCATCGGGTTGAGAAGTGCTTCTTGACTCTGTAGGATTTCATCTAGCACGTTGTCCGGCTACCTGCAGGCCGTCTACATGTGCAGGATGCATCTCCCCCAATGACTGTGCTCTCCATGTGACCAGCCAAGGGTGGTTGATGCAGGCATCACGTCTGTCGAAAGATTTGGCATCGCAAGTCATGCAATTTTGCTTTTCTTTATCGTACAGCAATGTCCAAGATGCGTAGGGTGAGGCTAAGGGCAAGGTCCAAAGCAACGATGGGCGAAGTGAGTTCCTCATGAACCCTAGCCAGAGCCTTTTCGCAGGAAAGTCTGCCCCCGGGTCCAAGTACGTATCCAGCTTGAGCGGGTGCGAAAACGACCACGATCTCTTTGGCCCTCCTAGCCGTAGCGGCCCTCATCTCTGGCGTGCGCTCTTCATAAGGCAAGGTGAATTTGCCCTCGGGAGCGGGCCAGAACTTTTCTCGCGCTTGGTCTACCCAGCCGCCAAGAGCGTCTGTGGAGAGCGCAGCTGCCATACTGTTGAAAGCGCCCATAATGCTGCTGGCATAATTGGCGCGCACGACCTGTTCGAGCACGCGCAACATGCCTCTCCGAAGCGTCCATCCTCCAGAAAGATGAAAGGCTTCATCCGCCACAGCAAACACTCCCGCGAGCAATGCGTCCAAATCTCTTTGACTCAATTCCGAAACGGGAGCTTGAGGTCCTGCATCTTGCAGCTGCTGCTCCTGGGCCGCTCGCGTCTTGGCCGTCATCGCCCTAAGCTCTGCCGCTGCTTCTTCTTCCGAGGCTGATCGACGCAGAGTCGGAGTGTCTGGCGGAGCGAGCGTGTCCTGAAATCGTTTCGCATCGTGCGTTGTTAGCGGTGTCGGACGCTGGGCTGTGCCTGTGGGCCCAGCTAAGCCGTCGCGCACGCCGTCCCCAACTGGTGCAAGGCCGTTGTAGGCAGCGGCCGGAACGCTTGCAACCGTACTAGCTGCCAC